ACATACGAATTTTATAACAATATATATATATATATTGTTATAAAATTCGTATGTTATATTATATATAAGAATGAAATGTTAAATGATTGGAAAAATATTCATTTTTTTTCTCGAAAACTTTGGGTTTTATTCTCGGACAACTGATAAGTGATAGATATATTTTGTTTGAAAGGAAAGATGTGATAGTGTAATAATACAACTGCAACGTTATAAGGGATGAAATGAAGAAGAAGAAGAAGAAGAAGAAGACTTTGTAGTAGTTTATCAAGAATAGATGAGAAGAAAGTTACGTCTGTGCTTCCAGTAACAGTTTTCCTTCTTCTTCTTACGCCTCAGGAAAGGGAAGTCAATTGGTGAAGCAAAGTGAATTCGTCCTTGCTAAGCGCTGAATAGATCATTTAAGTCGAGCTTTTAACTTTAGCTAATTAACTGTTTCCTCCTCTTCCTCCTACTCCTCCCCGTCCCCATCCCTCAACCTTCTTTTACTGTTCTCTCTTTCCAAAGAAGGATCTTTATGTTCATTTATTTTCATTACTTTTTTTTTCTTACTTTATTACTTGAAATACTTAGTATTTTATTTGTCTATTTTATTCTACCCCATTTGTATGTATATATATATGTTATTTTAATTTTATATAAATATTATATAATAGTATATTTATATATATTATTTTTTTTCACACAAAGAGATATAAGTAATAATAATTTTATAATAATTCTATCCAACGGTGTATATATATATTTGTTATATTAATTATATTACGTTTAATATTTTAAAGTATATTAATATTAATGTTTCGTTTATATAAAATTACGTTCAATTAAATAGTAAATTAAGATAAATGAATTAAGAAACGCGTTAAAGGATTGTAAAGTTAACCCAATTCCCTTTTTCTACGAAATCTTAAAATAACGATGATTAGTATTATTTATAAAATCAGTATATAGACAATTATTTAAATAAAATTCTATAACACATTTTTAATATCCATGCATTAACGAAATAATTATCCCTACGAACGATTATTATTCGTTCCATTATTTTTACTCGCGTTTACGTTCGAACAAAACAAAACAAAAAAAAAGAAGAACGAAATGGTGGGGTGGGATTGGGGTGGGAAACAAAACAAAAAAGAAAAAGAGAATATAATTCGAGACAGAAGTTCGGTAAACGATTAAACTACGAAAAAAATCTCTGGACACGGTTTTAAAATGCA